TATCGCAGCACTTAACAAACTGCTCTCCCTTCCTGTAACGAAGATGGATGGCAACCGGCCTCGAGCCCGCGAGTTGGCTGAGGCACCCCTGAGGCACTCTGAGATGGGGAACAAATCCCTGCCCGATGGAGAAACGCCAGCCTGAGGAAAAGCACAACCCAGCCGGCGTTCCGAAGCAGGGCCAGGACCAGCTCGCAGCTGAAGGCTGTGGAAATGAAAGCATGGTGGCATCGCCAGCGCGGCTCGGCTGGTTCCCCATCACACTGCAGAGCAGGAGACCCCAAAACCTCCGTCCACTGGAGGGGACGGTTCAGTGTCACCCCCAGCCTGCAGTGGCTGCGCCAGGCACCTTTCCTGGGAGAAAAGGGCTTGGAGGAGGCAGGGAGGCCAGAGCAGGGCTCGGGCAGGGATGATGGAGGTTTGGGGCAGGGCGCTTTGTCCCCTGTGGTGTAGGGCAAAGGCACCCCTTGTCCCCGGGGTCCCTGCCCCATCTCCCACCCTACTCCCAGTGCCAGAGTGGGGGTGCTGGGCTGCCTCCATCCCCGGTGTTCCCAGCCCCAACTCTGCCCAGGGGGGTTCCTGGGCCCGCCCCCCACACACCAGGCAGCTGCCCCCTACCCAGGCTGTGCCCAGCTCCCCCCGGGATGCCCGGGCTCATGCACTGGGATGCACCCCGCTCAGCTGCCCGCCTCCCGGTGCTCCCGGGACCCCCGTATCCAGATCCCTCTCGGGACCCCCGTGCCCGGTGCTCCCGGTGTCCCCATGCCCGGCACTCCTGGTGTCCCCATGCCCAGCTCCTCCTGGCATCCTCGTACCCAGGGGTGCTCCCGGCTCCCCCATGCCCGCTGCTCTCGGGACCGCCGTGCCCGGGTGCTCTCGGTGCCCGGTGCTTTCGGTGTCCCCATGCCCGGTGCACCCGGTATCCCCGTGCCCGGTGCGCCCGGTTCTTCTGCAGCCAGATTCTCCTGGCGTCCCTTTTCCCGATGCTCCCGGGACCCCCACGCCCGCTTCTC